ATATATATATGACTGTGTGTTGCACGTGTTTGCGTGTTTGCGTGTTTGCGTGAGTTTGACTGTATGGTCTGGAACCTTAATCCGCCCAGATCGGTCGATGCCAGTGATCCGCTTTTTAGATGAATATATTTCTGTTGCGTCTTGACAATTTCTCAGATTCTATGGACCCTAGTCTCGCATAGTCACATGTACCACCACCTTCGCTTCAACATGTCAGCTCGCTGAATGCATAGTGTGTCGCTTAAAGGGAATAGGGGTGGTGGTGTCAAACGCTGCGTAAAAACGAGTATGTAAGTGAGAAATTAGATTTATTAGTACTGCAACCGCATGCGTAGTATACTCTTCCTTGATTACTCACGTTGGCGTGTTGCAAATCTTCCTCCCCCCCCTCCCACCACCACAGTTTAAGGTCAGTATTCCAATCAACTGGGGCAATTTAATCATCATGTCAACCATGTGGATCGGTATTGCGATTGCTCTGTATCTCTTCTTCCCTGTGGCCTTCGCGTTGAGATACGCGCACTACGTGTTCTGCCTCGGTTGCATGGTAAATTTTTCGTATAGAAATTTGTGATATTCAATATGAATGTAATTAATTGTTTGCAAATGTATTTATTTATATATATATATATATATTGTTTTGTGTATGTATTTAAAGGTGTGTGATTGGGTTTTTAGTATCTATATGTTTATGTGCGTTCATATATATATACGCATTCAGATATATATATATATGTGTGCGTGTGTGTATATATATATATATGTGTGTGTGTGTGTGTGTGTGTGGTTGTGTGTGGGGTGTATTTGTGTGCATATATATTTATTTATATGGCAACACATATCTACATATTCATTCATTCATTTCGCTCTCGTTACCAGGATGGTTTTTATTTTGTTTAGTTGACAATAGGTCAAATACTCTTATAGAAGCGTACTCGTGTAGTTACTTTTCGGCTGTTAGGAAGCATGCTATCTGTTCACTAGCACCGATGAAATTTACCTTTTGGTACCTGTGGCCATATTTCTTCACTGCGAGACAAATGGACTAATCTTAACTCTCTGTTCTTGTATTGGCTCGTATGCCTGTATTAAGCTCTACATTCTTCTCTTTTCTCTCGCATATTCGTGTCTCCCTCGAGTGTTCCTCCCCATAGCCTGTGTTCCGCTCACACCTTCTCTCATCTTGTGATAGTTTCGTTCCAAAACTAGTTTATCATCACGCCTCACGGAGTGCTTGTCTTTTACCCAAATTGTAAAGTAGCGTTTTTGGTTTGTTTCTTTATTATTAATATTCATTATCCTGGTCCGCTATTGTGCAGCACGACCCCTCTTTCAGGTGTCTATTCGTATTGTTATTCTCTCAAAACACATTGCGCGTTGCATATACAGGGTGCTATGCTAAGGTCTGCGCTCTTATCTTCTTCACAATCCTGCATTTTCTCTAAACCCTAGCATACCTAACACTCGCTCTTCTACAACCCTGGTGCATCGCAGGGTGCCTGTCTGCTATTCACCTCGGGCTACATGTGGAATGTTATCCGAGGCGCAGGAGCGTACACCCGTGGACGTGACGGTAAAATGACCATCTGGGGCGGCGGAGGTCAACAAACCATGTCCGAATCCTACATCGTCATTCTATGCAGTATGTTCGATGATTTGTATTGCGTAGTGTGTAGTATGTTTGTCATTGTGTTTTATGTTATTATTATTAATTTAAAGTTTGACATATACGGGGTGTTTAGTGGATATATATATATATATATACTGACTATGATGTGATAGACATGGATGAGTTCTAGAGATATTGTTCATACATCGGTCGTGGTTTTATCTGCACCTAATTTGATACGTGTAGGCGGCGTCACTGACTCCATATCAGATAAACCCATAAACAAGCTAACTCTATGATAAGGGTCTGGATTATGTTATGTTGTGCTATGCTCATAACGGTGTATTGCCGCGACACTGCATCCGAAAGGAGACATGTGATGCTCTGAATCTGCAATACATGCTTATTAACAGTATTATAATATCTCAAGCCTGGATTTAATCATTTTCTTCGAATACGTCTATACGCCAAGGCTTTAACTCGTCCAACTCATCACCAACGTATCAGACCTATATTTGACAAATCCTATTTCTAAATACATCTACAGACGGTGTGGCGGCGATTGGCTTTATCCTGATGATGTTGAGCCCAAAAATCAAATGGGTGTCACCGACCGTCTCCACGGTTTTGTTTTTGGTCATGGCCGCTGGGCTGATGTCTACTGAGATCTACCTCTACAGAGAACACAAGAATGGGGGCTATCCATTCCGCCTATTTTTCTAAAATAATCACTATTAATTGCAGTCTAAAGGCTATGGTATGGATCCGCACTTTCTAGAAAAAGCGCGAATCGTCCGGATCACAGAGGGTGATTATTTAAGCAGAATTTCAATGGACTCAAATGGTATATCACCATAGTAATATCACAATCGGGCGTGTAGTTACTGAAATACGTGAGTTTTTCGGAAAGCTCGATGTAAACCTGTATGGAGTGGTGTAGTACAAATGGACTACGCCGGCTCGCCGCAGGTGAGTGTATTTATAAGAAGGTATCATAGACTGCAATAAACTAAAAAAACTCTTTGGAAAATGAAGGGGCAGAAGGTGATGGAATGCAAGTGGATTTTATGTAATTTTTAAATCTTTTGCTATGAAGGGCAAACGATTGCATATCCAATGAGCGTTCGTTGTCACAACAGGTGGTGATCGTTTTCTTCTTTTTTTTAAATAATAAAAACCGGTCACACTGGTGACTGCACACAGCCACACAGTGACACACACGCACTTTCCTATTTATTTACCTTCTTGTGAGGCGGGTCTGGCGTGCTGCCACATGTTGCCGTTGGGCAGTTCGGGTGTAATTTTTAATCTCTCTGGTGAGATGGGGGCTCAAGACATGCCTTCTTAAAAGTGGCTGACCAATTTTAATGACAACCCCGGCGGCATGGGCCACTCCGAGTGTCTGGGAATGTAGCTGGATAAAAAAAATGGATTCGCCCCAGGGGCGGGGCCAGACCCCAAAGTCCCAAACTCAAAGCCCAGGCTGAAGGCTCCCAGAGTCCCAACTCCCAACTCTAATATAGTCCTAGTACATTCGACAATCATTTCTGTGAGACGTCCAGGCTCCAGATTCGGGATTCCCCTGCAGAGAGGTTGAGAATTAACAGTGCCATGCAGAGTTTGTTGCGGAGTGCAGAGTGCAGTCGGCAGACTCTTGCAGAATGCCGAGCCAGGTCCCCCGTCCCAGGGCCAGAGGTGTGGACGGTGTCATCCTGCCATCACTGTGGTCGGCAGACAATGGACAGTGGTAAGTGGACACTGGACAGCGGGACAGTGGCGATATCAGGTTTGGACGTGACTGTTTATTGTTTTATGTTTTATATAGACTCGAGCTGGCCTGTCGTGTGTATTTAACTATTTATGTTCGGGGATGGGGGACTTCCGAATTTGAAATTTCAGAATTCAAATTTCATTGTCATAAATTGAGCAGATACTCTGATCTTTGAGCAGATACTCTGATCTATCCAATGGGCAAAACTCAAAACTCAAAACAAGGTTCTAAGTTTCGTTCTCGAAATTCGATGATGTCATATGGTTTAGTAATATTTCGATTATCTGATTCGTACATACTTAAAAACTTGATTTCCTCTTGGACTCCCTTGACCTCTGACCAAGACTCCGACTCTCCGACCTCCGTCCTCACTCCTCACTCCTCACTCCTCAGATTGTTCGACGGCGACCTCAGTCACAGAGGCTCGTGACTCAGTCCATTTTTAATGATTTAAACCATCATTTTTTTTTTACACTGTGTCTCTGAGTCTCTGAGACTTTGACCTCTGTCTTCGATCTTCACTCTTCAGTCCTCTCAGTGCTCCGTACATAGTCCAGTCCTGCCTCCTGTATGTCAGTCCTGAGTCCTTTCTACAGTGTCAGTGACTGAGTGACAGTCTCAGTCTCTCAGAGTCTCAGACTCGAGTTTGTATTGAGACTCTGAGTCTGTCTGAGACCTATTCACCTATTCACGTCTAGTAGTACGGCCCAGAGTAAATAGAGAGGGAAATGATAGAATTTTATTTTATTTTTACAACGAAAAACAGATAAAATACAGGTATGTGCATATATGTCATCATTTTAAAATGCCCTGGGCGCCCCCCGGAGGCCAACATATTTATCTACAAAGTTACAAACAATCATACGATAAATATTTCAATGGGTACATATATCATATATATTCAAGGAATTTAGCGTATGTGCGTCAGTATTCGACTTAAACATATACAATACAAGAACTATGGCACCCCAAAAAATCTTACAAGCACCTATTGCCCACGGCGACTGGGACTTCTCATTCTACAAAACAGACAGGCGGCTGTCTGAGGTCTGTGCTATTCCTCAAAATGCTTTTCTCAGAAATGTCAGGGGATCTGGAATCGACAGTAAAAATGAAAGCTGGATAGCATACTATAGGAGAATGAACGGCGATTGTCGAAATTCGCAATATCGCTGTGCGGTAAGCGATTGCTTGGCTGTTGCTACAGATGGTGCACACGTCAAGTTTAATGGCGACTCGGCGATGTATATAGTTCCTATGTGCATCAAGCATAATAGAGGTAGATCCCCTGAATACATGCCAGCAAGGATAACCCCCCAAGTAGAGCGAGTGCGCTTATATGAAGTTTCGAGAAGACGGGTGGCTCTCAAATTTATACAACGTATATTTTGAACCCCTCATGGTTAACTCCATCAATCCGACATTCCATAGCTGTTCATGATACATGTTCACCTGATGGCATTGAATGAGCTGTTGTTAATGATTTAGAGCCTAGCTGGTATCTAATCAGTATCGCTACCCTATGAGCATCACGCATTGCAGCGTAACTGAACCTTTTTTCGACGAGCAAGTCGAACTGTATCCCCAGTCGAAGAAAGCAATCACATGCAACGTCACAAAAATCAACTATTGAAGACATCGTATCGCGAGAAATTATTCTAGTTATCTGTGCTACGTATACTCTAGCACGCTTCGAACTGATACGTACGCCACCAATAGCGATATACGTCGTGGTTCAGATGCCCCAATATGCGTTACCGAGTCGCAATTCTCACGAGCATCAACAACACCACCAGATAGTGTGTGATGGCCATGTTTCTTAACATTTTCATGTCACACTGTGTCATAGGACGAATGATGAAGACTCCCATAGCTGTGTAACCACTGAATGCGCCGCCGAGAAGGGCAAGTGTGTGCAACATGGGCGCTCTTGCTTTTCCTGAGGCTAATGAAGCGAAGCAGAGCGTGTTCACCATCAGGTAGAAGGGCCACATGAATTTAATAGTAGCATTTAGCCCATAGAAGAATGCCGCAACCATTTTGCACCATACCAGTAAATAACACAATCGCAAATTGCTGAGTTGCCTTTTATATGTATTTATATTCATAGCCTTCTAAATGTCTGATTTAGAAGGCTATGTTATATTCGATTTACCATTGAACCCGATTTCGCACGAGACTTTCGCCGTTTGCACCTCAGTCCTCACTTTAGTCCTATTTAATAACTCAGCCTCAGCCTCAGCCCTCATGTTCCTTGTGGATGTCCGCTCCCGTGTGCCCTGGCCACGCCCCAGGCCCAGGGCTCAGATTGTTCAGATAACCAAAAATGTATTTTTTTTGTAATGCATTTCTGGTAAAAAGCAGCTTTTTCATTTCTTTTAATTGCAATTTCATTGGCTATTCAAGAGGTTTGTATACTAATTATATTTGCTCTATAAATAATTATCGAATCAAATATCTTCTAGTACATCTATTGGACGTGATAATTGAATACCAAAGAGAGGCTCAGGAGTCGGGGCTATGAATTTTAATATTATCAGCCGGGAAATTTCAAATTTGGCCTCCGTAAATACGTTATTTTTAATAGCTTGTGGCCTTGTGACTTCCCGTCTACCAGACTATCATATGAATTTTGCTCTAATCAGTACAAAACAGTGCTTTTCGTAGTGCCTACTACTATCAAATCAATACTTCATGCTAACGTATCAAGTTATACCTGGATTGTGATATCCTCTTACACTCCCACAACCACGCAGACAGATTACGCACTGCCACGTAGTATACATCGCATAACATACAATCTTCATACAATGGTGCAGCAAGCCGCATATCAGAACAGATCGATCCACCGGCCACACGCAACGACATCAATATATGACCAAGTGGAATACAATCGATCCGAACCTAGAACACCTCCCTTACGAATAAACGTAGATGCACGCAGACTTACGCAGCAACGTAGAGATGCGGGTAGTGGCAATCGCGTAACTGTAGTTGGACAGACAAGCAGAGAGCGAATGACCAGTGGCAGCGGTGTGCAGTTGATGCGATCGGCGAGTATACGTTCGAGTGCCAATGTGAATGCGGGCCCCAACGGTGACGTCAGTCTCAGAGCCATACTCCTTAGTGAAAGTGTATGTACTTTCTCGTGACGTATAGACGTATAGAGTTTAGAGAAAGTATGTATGTAGTTTATCTTGATTGAGGGTGTGTGTTGTTCGAGTTGTTGTGTGGCTCAGTACTGCGGTTGTAGCACAAATGTCTTCCTGTTGTTGTCTTCATGGTGATGTGTGCTGTGTGCAATACTAGATGTAGTTGTGGTTCTGACCCGCGTTGTGTATATTCTTTCCAGTGGACAGTAGCTTCAATGGAAACTATCTACTTCGGTGATAGTAAACATCAGAACTTTGTGAAATTGGTTCATCGCTCCCGTTTGACTAGTCTCATAGGGAATAGCTGTGAGATCGGCCCTTTCGTGAGCAATATTTGGGTCTATTCTGGCCGCGTGAAGTTCATCGATCGTTCAATACATATTCACATTGTCACTTATCAATACCAATCAGAACTGAAGTCACCGAATGTCTCTAGACCACCTTTACATACTATTTGGGATGAAACCGCACATCGATTTTATTACTGTTCTAGTTTGATAACATATCACTGGCTTGTTGCGGATTACTAGACGCCCTCAGTAAAAATATACGAGGCCAGCCATTCAATTTCAAAATGTATATACGGCTATGCATTGCATAAAAGTATATTCATGTATGTATATATATATATATATATATGAGTGTGTATATTTATATATATATATATATATATATATATATATATATATATATATATATATATAAATGTGTGTGTGCGTGTGTGTGTGTGTATGAGTGTATGTATGTATATTATATGTACGTATGTGTGTATGTATGTGTGTACTTGTGGATTTATGCGTGTATGTAAATTTTTGGGATTGTATGTATGTAATATATATATATATATATATATATATATATATATATATATATATACTAATAATATATATATAATATGTATTATATATATATTATTATTATATATATATATATATATATATATATATATATATATAGGGTTTTATGATTCAGGTTTTTAGGGTTTTGTGAATATATCTATTTAGCTTTGAGTTAAGGCTGTATCTAATTGTATTTTTCTCATTGCTGTCGCAAATACGTTTGTAGTTTGTTTACACTTCTTTGCTTCTGTACATCTACAGGGAAGCGCTCGTACGCGAACAGTGCGACGCACTCGCCCCACACCCGTCCCTGATGCAGCTGTCGCAAACAACATCCGCACAGATACGTTGAACAGCCCTGCCGGTAGTGTGGTGATCAATGACAATACCCACAGCAGTTATATCGAGCTGATGCGCACACCCAATGCACGCACACTCGCCCAGACACGCAGCGACCACATAGCCCAGATAGAACGCGCACGCACAGGAGTCACAGTAGCTACCAACGCACACACCGGTGGTAATATAGTACAGCCGTTTGTACCGAACACTCCAGACATACTGCACGATGCAATGGATACTAGTGATGACGATATGTTCATAGAAGCGCTGATAAGAACGGATGGGTACCACTCATCGCAAGAAGCAGAGGAGAACCCTCGAGACGTGCTGCGTACAGCGCTTAGACAGAGTGGTGCGAGAAGTTCGGTACCTACTGCGAGAGACCCGGCGGTTGCCATAGAAACCGACACGTCCCCTCAGAGTCGTGCACGGGGCAGTGGGGAGGGTGTGGTGCACACATCGCGTGTGCCTGTGATGAGCTTAGCACAGTATGAAGCCCAGCGACACGCACAGATCAGTGCGCTGACGGCGCAAGCACAGGTACGACCACTACCGTACACACCGTACACAGACACACAGATACAGCCACTACCGTACACAGACACACAGATACAGCCACTACCGTACACAGACACACAGACACAGCCACCGCTGCAGGGGGGTGAGTCTATCCCTGCGAGAGGGGAAGGAAACATGCGCTTGAGAGACGGGAGTATCAACTTCCAGTCACACCAGTTCCGCTCACGTATGGCGCGGGCGATGCGCACTTCGCAGATCGCTCAGCAACAGGTGTGTGTGCTAGTACTATTTATGTGTAATGTTGTTATAGATGTGTGTACTATTACTATTTATATGTAATGTTGTTATAGGTGTGTATACTATTACTATCCATGATCGTTCGCAAGTGTCTTTAATGTCGTCCTGCGATGTGACATGATGTACTACAGTGAGTTTCGTATCACGTGTACACGTGCATGCACATCCATGCTCTGTGCTTCAACCGTGAACCTGTGTCGCGGTATCTATATGTCATTATAGTCAGGCGATGCAAACTAGACTCGTGCCACACTGTGTTGTGTGATATGTACGCCCGTATTTGTTTCGACTGCGTGGTGGCTGGTGTGTGGTCTATGATTCCATTCAGTGCGTGATGGTCGTGCAGTGGCACTTTTTGAGTATTGGTCTTTGTTTGAGTCGTTATATTGAAGTACCTAAAATAAAACTATGATAGTATTTGTACATATGTGTGTGGTGGGGGGTGGCGGGGGGGGGCGGTGTAGTATAGACACC